TACAGAATATTTATGTTATTCATATTCACTCCTTCAGCTCTTCCTAATTTGGTGCTTTGATGACTTTCTAATTGAGTGCTTTGATAGGGTTTTGAATTTGTGTATTGTACAAACGTGACCATTTGTGTAGATTATAAGAGTTAATTAACAGAGTTCATAGGATATTGCTTTCTGCTCCTCGCTGATTTTTAGGAGGAAAATATAATTTCAAATTCTAAAATGAGGCGCACTGTTAGAATAATACAGATGAGTTATTAATGCCATGTCACAGCAGCTTTTAAAAAATTAATCCTTCCACGAGGTATTGACAGCATTGTTGCAGACAGTATTATCCGCTGCACACTCTCCATTTAGCGTAGTCGTCAACAACGCACAATGCTGTCTGCAATGATGTTGTCAATGCCCCGGGGAAGATGGGAAAGGATTAAGTTTTTAAAACCTGTTGCGACTACCCATTTTAAGTACTCACGGTGCTCTAATTTATTGACTGATTCGACCGTGGGAACGACTGGAATCGCAACAATGCTTGATAGCTAAGTAGCAATCACTGGTATTACATTTTTATTAATTATTTAATAAATGTTGCATCCTGAGTATGATTTTATCATGAGGACTGATCTCGCATTGAACGTGGAATTGATTTCACTTATTATATCCACTCGGCAGTTAAATCAGATCGAGTATCGAACCACTTTCAAGATTGAATTTTTCTTCTAAAAATCGGCGATACGCAAACATAGCTTATGAATTGTTCGCTAATCGAGAGACGCGCAATCGATTGTACAAATTATCTTACACAAAGGTGAAAAAATTGAAATTTGAGGAATGACCTCCGTGACCCTTAAAACTTGCTGCCTTGAATTTTTTTCCTTAAAATGCAAAATCTTGTCGGACGAATAAATGATGATAAAGATTTTATTAATTAACTTAGGGGAGTTACTCATAACTCAAACAGTTCGTCGATCTAAATTTATCTGAATTTATTTCACCCACAGAATTTAACAATTATATCCCGTTAATAAATAATTGACTTAAAACAAGTATTGGTGTTTTAGCGCGTGCGCATTAGTGAAGTCGACAGCTCAAGCCGTGACGTCAGATTTGAATGTATGTGCAAGGCGCCGATCAATAATGCGTTCCAATCATTCTGTCGTGTTCTGTTTTTTAATATTGCATGCAATCCACAGTTACTGCAAATGTAAATTCATTTTCAATAAGTGAATCGTATGCCCAATTTTATGCATAACAAATAAGATGTAAAAAGAATTCGAAAAGTTTTTATTCTCATTAATCAAAAAATAGAAAAAAGTAATTATTGAAGACAGAATTGATATTCGAATAATGCGCAACTGTCGAAATGCGTAAATCCGTCATGTCGTCGCCGAACTGTCGCAATTCATTAATTGCTAGTGAATACAGATGGTATTTAAGACAATGTCGCTCCAGAAACAAAATCGCACTCAGCAATAATTGTTACTCTGCTATACGAGCGAACATGTCAATCATAGAAGCGTAACAATCAATAACTGATAATCCAATTGCGGTGAGAGTAGATGAGGGTGTGCCGAACAGCCGGGAAAGAAGAGAGTTTCATTAACTGTCGAATAGTACATCATGCCTTTTTCGCTCGTTCGACGACCTCATTTCCATCCGTAAGACCTGTCGCAAAAGAGAGAGGCGTGTTACCTTACACCCACCTTCTCTCTTTCTCTCTCTCTCTCTCCCTCTTGCCGACCTGTTTCCTTGTACAACAATGGACATGCACAATGCAGTAGTACAAGTCTCTATAATCCGCCCAGCTTCCTTTTTCGACGCCAGATGGTTGCGGCGGCGTTTACTTTCTGGGGAGAGCAGGCAGAAAGAGAGAGAGAGAGAGAGAGAGAGAGAGAGAGAGAGAGAGAGAGTCCAGCAGCAGTAGCACGCAGAGCGCGATTAAATATTTATCCGTCATCGCCGGGGACATCTGTCGGGAATCTGCCGACTTCATTATAGACTTACTTTGACGCCTGAAAGAGAGAGAGAGAGAGAAAGAGAGAGGCAGGCCAGTATATTTGTACAACATTAACGCCTACTACCACGTTGGGTTGCACTATGCGTTCTTGAATTGCTCGACACATGTCGTTCTGTACTCCTCGTCTGCCAAAATTACACGGGGGTGGGTTCTTTCCTGCAAGTTTATGGAAAAAGACGCCGGTGGCTGGCTGTCGTTCGTCTTTCTCAACTTTTTCAATAATCAAGTTACGACCGTTCCGCCTAGTTTCCTGAAAGTTATGGCATATCGAATAGGCTGGTACATCTTACTTTTCACGCCTCCCCCCCCGCTCTTAAAAAAGTTTTTCGTATAATTTTGTTTGAATTAGTCGAGATAAAAAAAGTCGACCAAAGAAACTGTCTCTAGCGATCCCTAATGCAAAGTCAGCTGTCAATGAATAAACAATTAACATCTACGCGAAGAAGAAAATTATCGAAAGCAGCTCGTCAACCAAAGTGAAAAAGACATGTTGGGAAGGTGGAAGGCGGGGGGCATTGGTACGGTGCCAGAGGCATTAGCTTAAACGCATCTCTCTCGCTCCCGCAGAATAGCCCTAAACGCTTGGGCACTTTGGCATTCATATGCATGAGATTCGGGGCGCGAGCGCCGAGGTTTTTGCGGTTAGCTGCTGCAGCAGTTGTTGCTCTCGCGCTATATGTAGGTAGTTCCCTGCATAGTTTGTGTTTGCACTCGGGATTTTCCCTGCCGAGTGTTTTCAATCGGAAACACGACTGGTTGCATAAATACTTGCGCAAACTGACGTGATCATGTGTTAACTCACGTGACACGAATGATTGATTTGTTCGAGGCTTACTTCGCTACTTTTTTTTTATTCCTCCCCGTTTTCTTTCTTAATGATTTTATGTCACGCGATTTTTTTAATACTTAAAAAGGATGTAGAACTAATTTTTTGGCAAACGCGTGTTTGATATCATATATGGTCAATGGGTATTAAACGAAATTCATTACAGTATTTTATTTTAATAATCATAATAGTTTATATTTTCAACAAACAATGATTTTGGAATAATCATAATAGTTGGTGTTTTCAAGAAACAATGATTTTCGAATTTTGACGGCAATAATCACAGCATAACTAGAAGAGGTATCAACACGCACTGATAATGGCTTATCAAATATGCTAATATTTTATTTTTCAAATGCATTTGCAACAACGTAATGCAATTGTTTTTGATTGCTCTTGTTGTGTTAACTTAATCTACGCTTATAAATCGAGGAAATTTTTCTTGTTACAATAGGATAGCCTTAAAATTATATCCCGTACGGAACATAAGTCCAATTTTTTTTCATATATAATACTAAAATAATTAAAAAAGTCTTATATCACCGAAGCGTTATATTGCTATCACTTTGCGAAACGAATCCAGCTTGTACATAGTCATTGTCCAAAAAAAAGCAAAATCAATAGCCTAATAAAAATTATTCAGTGATTACGAGCTATACACCGGAAGCATGCGTGGCGAAGCGAAAGCGAGCTTGCAGTGTAGTCGTCGACTCCGGCGACAAACAAAACCCGCTCGATAAAAATCCAATATTCGGCGTGCGTGTGCGTGCGCGTGTGTTTGCCGTGTACGTCCCGGAAAGGGCAATCACGTTTATCTCCCTGCCAGAGGCTGCGCGTACCGACCTCTCACGCACATGTCTGTGCGGGATACGGATGGAGAGCACGCGAGAATCCCTTGCTGAATTATTAACGCGCAGTTTTGCGCTTTTAATCTTAGTCGTGTTTTGAGGACCGAGCAAGCTCGGGAAATAGTCCGCTCGACTATTCAACGGAGGCCTTTCGTTTTCTCTTCCTTTGCTCGTTTTTGTCAAGGACGTATACTAAAAGGATGCCCCGCGCGTATTCATTCCGTCATGGTCAGGCTGATTTTCCAGATCAGCGCGTTTGTAGTCGCGAATAAAACGAAATTCGCTTTGTAAAATGCACTCACACGAGGAAACAAAAGTCTAGCAGAGGCATTTCATCAAGAGGGAGAGAAAAAAAGGAGGCCTTTGCGGCTCAAAAAGGGTGCGCGCGTTTGCTCCGATCACACGGATACGGGCACACAGGCGAGCCGAGAGAGAGAGAGAGAGAGAGAGAGAGAGAGAGAGAGAGAGAGAGAGAGAGAGAGCAAAAGCAAACACAAATCCACTGCTTTATCATGCAGGTCACCGCGCGGCCGTGTGTGCGGGAGAGCGAAGCGAAACGCTCCGTTTGTTTTATTTGTTAAATATTTCATTTGCCGGACGGGGCAGCCAATTACCTCTCTTCGGCGATTGCACGATAGAAGGAGAGAGATAGAGAAACTAGGCGATAACGAGGCCCGCCGTAAAAATACTATTGTCAGCCCGACGCCCCCCCCCCTCTGCTTTTTTGTCTGTGTTACGCTGACGTTTTCCTTTATCATTCGATTTCATTTCCAACAAAGTTGATTACTCGATCATGTTTTTATCTTTCTCTTCTTCTTTGGAGGATACTTCTAGAATTGATGAAATATCTGGCTTCTGCAAGAGGAGGTGATGAAATTATCGACGGTTATTAAGAATATCGGCGGTACGTTGCTTATGCAGGCGAGATGTTACAAGTTGATTACGCATTTAGACACGGGATTAAGTGAGCGTCGAACTCGTGACACCGACGCGCTGCGGGTATCATATCGACTTATCGTGATTTATGCAAAACACGCAGAGACTTTCAACACGACCAAACCCGACGTCATTATTATTCATTCTGCGTGTCTAGCGAGGATGTTTCAAATATTCATGGGGCTTTCATATCGATGTTTGCCCATGAAAAATGAAAAAAAAAAGACGCTCGACGTATTCTCGAAGATCGAAGCACAGAATGCTTTTAGCGGGATAAAATAAATCGTCTCACCGCCGATGCCCCTCCGTTCTGCATGCCGTTCGCGAGATAGAATGGAAAATTGACCGAACTAATCGGTTGATCTGTTTTTGCCGGCAGGTGTGGTTCCAAAACCGTCGTGCCAAGTTTCGCAAGCAAGAGCGTTTGGCCCAACAGAAGTCCGGCTCGTCGCAGCCGTCCAATCCTGCCCTGGACAGCAACAATTCGACGAGCGCCGCCGGCGGAAATTCGGCGCCGAGTCCATTGTCGGGCAACGTCAAGGCAGAAGGCCGCTCGCCACGAAGTCCCGCGAGTCCTGCGAGTAACTCGGAAGTCAAGCCCATTGCTAGTCAGAATCTGTTGAAACACCCGGAGGTGCCACAACCGCAGCAGCACGAATCGCCGAATGGTCGGGTAGGCGGCGCCGCCTGGGGCTCCTGTAGTCCAAGACCCTTCTCCGGCGCTCTCGCCCCTTACATGCTGGATCCGCTGCCCCTCAAGACCGCGAATCTATATTGAAGAGAGCTTTAGGTCGCTCATTTATTTTCACTTTCTTTCCTTCGACCAAATTTTGAAGCGATCACATGACCGTTGTCATCGTCTTTGCTTTTGTTCAACAATCAGGGTAAAATTAGCGTTGTGTTGCATAGTCGATATTTCGTTAGCGATTCGATCATTCAAGAATATAGTTGAATCATTTGAACACGTATTTTGAGACAAAAAATCAGAGTGTAGCTCCGTTAGTTGATCGTATAACGACGGTTCACTTATTTTTGGAGCGAGTGATGTACTCTTTGCCAGCGTTTCGAGTGGCTAGCGCGAGCTTTCAAAATATATCCTCGCCGATCAGTAATCCCCTTCCCCCTCCCTTCTCCATTTCTTAATTTCAATTCGAGTGGACACTTGAATGACCACTGCTGTAAAAAGAACAAATAAGTAATGTGAAACTTAGATTAAATGACCATTGAGCAAGCAAAAGAAAAACAACATGTATCACGAAGTAAACTAACGTTCGTTTTAGACTGCGAGAAATGAATTTTTTCTCTAGAACACCAAAAGCCATCCGATATACCATGAAATGTATTTGGAAAGAAAAGTGTGTACCTAGATCACGAACGCGCGTCTCCGGACATTGTACATATAGTCTAGTTGTTTTCGTCGCTGTATCGAGTGAATATTTGCGCTGAGAAGAATTTTTTTCGTTGGAAGAAAGAAAACACGTACTATTTTTATTTTTCATGAATATACAGAAACTAAAGTGAATGTAACTGTAGCACATCATTTTTTTTTCATACTACACGCGACAGAGACAGGTCATCGCAACGTGCTTCGAAAGATTGTAATTTTGCTGATCACGATATATAAAAACCTTCGTACAACACATACTACACTGCACCTCCGAAGCAAATTTTTTATAATCATTATATTACGTACGTACGATATATGTTTATAAAACTCATCTGTATAGATAGCCTATAAAAATATGATCACATTTAGTACATTTTACAATAACTTCACTTTGTTTATCTTTTCTTTTTCGAGTGTTTATTAATTTGTTCAAAATGAAAACACACTTGTTAGGTCGGTAATTGTTTAATCGATTGGAATGATATTCGTCCGTGGAGTTGAAACTTTTAGTGAGAACCGAGCCATCAGTAACTTATAAGCAAACTTTTCGTCCAAAGTACCGATATCTCGGACTCTCGATGACTTGTGTGAATTAGTCTTCTCAGTGCAAATTTATATAAGGAGTGATGCGCGTGTCGAAAGAATAAAATGCGATAAACGGCGATTCTCAAGAACTAAGGTTAATTATTATTAAGTATATCATTATGTGTGACTGGAACTTGTACAGTTGTTGCTATAAATATATGAAATTAGTGTTTTACACCACATTTCATTTTTGTCTCAACCTCTTTCATTTCTTACTACTTTTTTCAGTTGTTCCCATGCGGAAAGATTAAAAGTATAGGCAGTTTATTTAAAATTTTTTTTATTGATATATTCATTTAAAATAAATCAATTCTCATTCTTAGTCGTAGTTACATTAAATTACGCTCTGGATGAGATGATATACTTACAGTGCAGTTACGAGTGTAAATCATAATAAAACGATCTATCATATATTCACAACGTCATCGTTAAATCTTGAGTTTCTTCATATTTTGTCGCTGTTGCTTCATTGACCAATGAGAACAACAAAAATTCCCAAGAAAATTGCAAAAATAGATTACAAGCAGTGCAAAAGAGCTACACCGGTTTTACTATTTGCTTTTTTTTTCAATTTTAGCTATGGACAAGTTGGGTAGCTATCAACATCTATGATAGCAGCGGAGTACAAAAATGTCTGTTTTTTTTTTTTTTTTTTTTTTTTTTCAAGTAAAAATCGGTGACACCGAGTAATCCCCGTAATTTTCTTGATCCTTCGTTGCTCATTACTCCCGGAAACTTTTTTACTAACTTCTATATATTTTTTATATAAAGTTTCAGTTACAAGTTTCCAACATTGATACTTCCGAGCAACACAACATTCCAGTAAAAACTCAAAAGTTATTCAATCTAGTTATTTTAAAATAAAATAAAATAAAAGAATTAATATAATGATGAATGGAATCTAAGGGCAAAAATGGGAAATTAGAAAAATCAAAGGTGTGACACGCGATGAAGATGATGATTAAGCGAATGAATGTTAAAAATGAACCGTGAAAAGAAAAGAAACTTTATGATCAGCATTAGAATGAATATTTCTTTTCTCATCGTCAATTATTTTCGTCGTTTTTTGAATATCGCAAGGCTCCGTAAATAAAAAAAGTTACGGGTAGCCCGGAATTTATTTCGTTAATTCGATGATGAATAAAACAATTTTTCCTGTCGAAAAAATTCCGTAGAACTTACCCGAAGTCATTTTAGAGCACAAATATCGCTCTTAAAATAAAATATTCTTACATCAAGAGAAAAATCTATTGTTTATCAATATTTTAGAGTGAAATAAATTATTGAGCGAATTAAAAAAAAAAAGAAAGACGTTGAAAACCTTATTTCCATACCTTACCGTACCAATTTAGATGCCAAAAGAAATTTTATTGTACGGAAGCATCTCTCGTTCGTACAATCCTACCGTATCCAGTTCTACTAGATTTCTCAAATAAGTAATGTAAAGACTTCGGATCCAATGACCGTAATAACAAAAAATTCGTTCGTTAGTTAATATATTTTTTTGTCACCGTATTTATAACTCAATACTCCTCGCCCCCCCTTAATTTCTTTACTTCATATCAAATACAGATAGAGCCGTCATCGGAGGATCAAAGGGTGGAATATTTATAATATCATGAGTAAAATACAGCAATATTTTCATTCACATTATAATCGCGACGTTTGAATTGCGTCGTGGATTGTTCGCTCGAGTTCGTCAACAATATCCTATGTTATTTAGTGTGCTCTAGTACAACAATGACGCGTGTAAATAGTACCTATGTATACTCGGGCAAAAGAAAGAAAAGAAAAGAAAAAGCACCTGTTCGGGCGTCAAGTTCGCGCTGTCTGTGGTTTTTTTGGGCGATCTTCCATGGGCGCCCTCCTTTTCGTCGCTAGAATCTCGAATCACGCGATAGTGCACGCGATCGGGGAAAAGGAAGGACGGTCAGCCGTCGTTTAACGATTGGAAGGAGCTGTTTAGGCCATGGTGAGTGTGCCGGCGCCCATGCCGAAGCCAACGCCGCGTGGTCCGAAGTTCCTGCCGTAGCAGCCGCGACAGTAGATGTCGCCGTCGGGTCCGTCGTTGAGGTTCGTCGAGTCGAGCGAGCGGTGGCAGGCGCCGCAGCTGAAGCACCTCTTGTGCCAGACGCGGTTCTTCGAGATCATTTGCTCGGCGGCGTAGACAGGGTAGCCGCAGCGAGAGCAGCCCTCGCCGTCGCGCGCCTTCGAGCCCAACTCTGGCTTCGGCTCGAGACTGCAGCGATGAAGAGAAAAAAACGTGAGGGATCGTTCGAGCGGCTGCTCGGCGAGCTCGACAACTCGCTAATCAAAAGAGAAACTGACTATGAAGGCGCGTGATCGGGGTCGGTGGAAACGAGGGTAGGCGTGTGTCCGAATCCAAATCCCTTGGGTCCGAAGAGTTTGCCGTAGCAGGCGCGGCAGTGGATCTCCTTGTCGGGTCCGTCGCAGGCGAGCATCGAGTCGAGTGGCCTGTGGCACTCGGCGCAGTTGAAGCACTTCTTGTGCCACATCGTACCTTTGGCGAGCTGCTGCTCGGCGGCGAATACCATGCCGCCGCAGCGGGGACAACCCTGGCCTGCTGGCGCCTTGATCGACGTCGTGTCGGGGTTGTAGAATGGCCTGCTCGCTATTAAATCTTCCTCGCTGAAAAATTATTCTCTCGTTTGTTAGTCATTCGTAAACACAGCATTGTCGATCCGAATGACCGACGTCCGTTCCATTGATTTAGATTTAATTAATAACAAAGAAACGAGCTGACGTAGACTGATCTAATAACGAGCTTATTTCAAGAAAAGAAACGAACGTACCTGACGCCATCGGTCTGCAAGAATCCGGAGCCGCAGGCAAAACCGTAACCATGAGGTCCCCACTTTTTGCCGTAGCAAGTCTTGCAGTAAACGTCCTTATCGGGACCGTCGCAGGCTATGATCGAATCAAGAGTCTTGGTGCAGTCCCTGCACTTGTAACACTTTCGGTGCCATTCGCGACCCTTGGAGAGCACCTGTTCAGCGGCGAATACGACGCCGCCACAGCGAGGACAACCTTTGCCCGGTGGCGCTTGGATCGTGGCCGTATCCACGGTCGTCGTGCGTGGAGCAGCATCACTGTGGTGGGTATACGCAAATTAATCATCGCTTTTATGATGTTACAGTACGCTTTTTTAATACGCGCGCGCGAATGTTTAACGAGGTGGTTGTAACAGGATAGCTGCATCTTGATTATCGCGAAAAGCTAAACTTACGTGACATTTATTCCTAAGTGTGTAATATGAATTGCGCAATCTTGGACGATGAACGAATAAGATTGGTATATAGTTGGACAATCCAAAGACGTCGGTTACGAAACATCAAATCATTCAACGGTGAATATTGGAGATCGAAAATATCGAACAACGCTATATTCTGAGCACAATTTTTGCATTTGTTTTTTTTTTCAATTAAATTTTCATCACAAAACATCGCATTGAATGCAAGTATCCTGTTACGAGTTAAGTGAATTTCCAATGGTTCTAAGCTATACGGTGTATTCCAAAAACAAGCGAAATACGGCTCATTAATAATCGTGTTATGCATGATATCAAGACAATTGAATTTCTCGTTTGAAATAATTCAACATGCGCCACGATACAACATAAGCCACGATCGAGCTGAAACGTCTGATAACGCGACGGACAATCGAATTTCCGCTGGTGATTCGATTTTTCTAGCCGCGATGAATAACGGATGAGCTGCAACCATTGGCGATGCACTGAATCTCATTAGAAATCCACTTGTATCTCTCCGCATGCAAAAACAATCAAAATCAGACGGAATGAAGGAAGAGAGCAATGAAAGGAGAAGTGGATGTCGCGGCGAAAAATTCAACGGCTAATGAAATCCTGAGACAATTTCAGTGCCGCCGCGGTGAATTATTCGCGGTGACTCTCCGTGCTTTATTGACGTAAAACAAGTCCACAGAAATAATTGTTAGGCGTGCACATATGCTTGATTCAATTGTAGTATTTATCACTCGGATTTCTTGTGTCGTAGTAATAAATAACAGTAATCGGGGTTATTTTCATTGTGAAGGAAGAAAAGCACACCAAGACTGTTCAGAGTTATCACGATCGCTTAAGTTGTTGGTAACGATTTGTTTGTGTAATGGATAACACACAAATATTTTCAGAAACGTAGTGATTGGATAAAGGAAAATAACTAGAACTGATTATGAAGGTAAAACACTTAAATGATGGAGCTGTGAGTAGCGCGTTATAGCGTTATGTGGCACCGATAACGTGAGAATAAAAATACTAAGACAGAAAAAAATTATGACTATTCGCACGGAGAGAATCAGTTTCATAATCTAATCAATTTATCATTTTATTTCTAAAAGTATTTTCATCTGAATCAACGCTCATGTCTAAGAAATATTATTTTAAGAATAATTATTCAGCCAATCAATGTTTTATCTCACTTTGGATTTCAATTATTTTATTAGTCACTATTGCAGCTTTGTAACTCAATTTTTAGTAGCGATTGATTTCTCAACAATATTAAATCAATAGATTAACAAATTGTCTCCACGAATAGCCACTGACGAGTGTAAAAAAAGAACAACAAGACAAAAGTACCAAGAACAAAAATAAAAGGAATTTACGCGAAACAGAGAAAATTCATAAAAAAGTAGGGTACTTTGATCTCGTTAATCATGACAATAAAGGCTAAAAAGAGAAGCCGGGGCTCGGCGTACCCCTCATCCTCGATATCGCACTGCAGCCCGATCCATATGACCCCGGCGTGGCCGATGCCTCGCGGGCCAAATTTCTTTGGATAGCAAGCTGTTAAGCAGAGAGAAATAGACAAAAGCGCATCATATAATCATGTTTTTGACAGAGAAACAAAGAGAGAGAGAGAGAGAGAGAGAGAGAGAGAGAGAGAGAGAGAAGAAAAAAGAAAACGTTAATTATAAAATAATCAAGAAGTGTCATAGAAAAGAGTCGCATTGTATGTGTATGTATTGTTGGTGTACCTAACAAACCCGTTGGCGTAACAATCGCTTTGGAGAGCACCACCACCTTGGCCGTAGCCGTAGCCCTTCGGACCGAACTTCTTTGCGTAGCACACTGGGCATTCAGGTTTGATTTACGGGACATTGCAATAATCAACGATTTCATTAGATTTCCGATTTTTCTTTCGAGTTGTCAATATGTATATCTCGGTTTGATCTTTTTTAATCGACAGTGCATCCTCACCTTTGCAATAGATATCCTTGTCGGGACCCTCGCAGCAGTTGACCGAATCTAGTCTCTTGAAGCAGAAGCCACACTTAAAGCATTCCCTGTGCCATGGCTATCAGTCGAACACAAATCAGGAGAGAGAAACATTGGTTAGTCACTGCTCGTTGTTGTTTCTTTTTCTTTTCGTATATTCAACGATACTGCGGGCGGATAGGTAACATCGAAACGTCATGCTGTAATGCCGATGGTGTATTGATCACGTTGTTATTTTGCGAGTTCGCAAGCCCAGTCTACCGACAATAACTTTGATTATCGCTTGGATGCGCAATCCTATTACGAGATCTATTCCGAGCCGCTGCGAGCACGCAACATCTGACGAACGGCGAACGGCGAACTCCGAAAGCATCCGTATTTACAACGACTCGTCGTTGCTCCCGAAATAATTGAGAAAAATCGAAAATCCGAGCCTTGGTAAAAGTGCACGAGCGCCTGTGCGCGAGCGAGACTGATGCGGACGAGAACAAACTCAAACACCGAGCACATTCGCACACGCGAGCCGAGTGATTGGCCCAGCGAGTGCAGGGCAAACGCTGTTTGCTGTCGCGAGGGCTAATAGACCGAGTGCGACAAAACCGACACACGCCCCCGCCTCTCTTTCAATCCCATCCCATTCAACGATGAATGAACTTAACGAGGGCTAATGTATGCGCGTCTGTGTACAGTCCTGTTCGAGTCTCGCTGTCTCTCTTTTTTCTTTCTTCTTCGCGAGAATTGCGAGCGAGCGGACAGAGGGGTGCTTATGCAAGCCCGAAATCGCTCAACTCTTCGTGTTTTCAAAGTTAATCACGCGTCTGACTTGTCCGAGATGCTTTTACTTGATTAACGATCTGCTGACATTTAGTGAAAGACGTACGTTTCGGCTAGTCACAATTTCAGTAGTATGCGTGTCGCTGTTGCAAAACATTCTTCAGGGTTTTTTAAACTTACTTTTTCTTCGATTGCAGTCGTCTCTTGCCGTTACAACGCTGCTTTTCATCTCAAATTCTCGATGAAAAATGTCTATACGACCCAAGTATTATTTTTCTTACTGTACACGCAGTTATTGCACATATGATTATCATTAGAGGTTCAATCATGAGAAATGCTTGTCACAAAAATTAGGATGGATTTTTTGTGTGCGGAAATTAAAAAAACTATATATAAAGTTCCACGAGAAGGGAACACAAAAAAGAAAACACTCGATCTTTTTGTTGTTTCTTTCGTATAAATTCACTGGTCTGATTGTTAGGACGATAAACAAAATATACCTCGACAGTAAATTTCGCGATCGGGACCATCGCAATGTAAGGTAGAGTCCAGGGTCCGGTGACAGATTTTGCACTTGAAGCATTGTTTATGGTAGCCCTATTCATAAGAAGCAGCAATGACTACGTGGCTGCTCGATATTTACTTTTTTATCTACTGTAATTTCTTGCTTTCGTTACTCTTTTATGCTCAGCATTTTCATTAACAGCGTCAATATTAATAGCATTATTGAGCCTATTACATATTGTGCTCTCTTGATCCGAAAACATTTTCGAAACTCAAAAAAAAAGGGCCACTCGTGTGAGCATATGCACGCTGACGAAATATAGGTATATATCTCGAAACGCCATGACGAAATTTGAATGTTGGCGAAGCGCCGCACGACTCCATCGCTGGCTTAATTTTAGAGAGCCGTGCGCGCACGTGACATCAATTTTTCGAGCACTTCTCTTATTACCCGTAGCCACTGTCGAAATTCGAAAAAAAAGAAACGACGAACGCTGTTTATAAATATAAACGAGCTTGCAAGACTTTAGTGTACACGCTGTCCGAATTTCGTTTGAAGAGCGTTTATTTTTGGGCGTCGCTTAGTCAACGTTGTAACGGATTCCTTTTAAAATTCCAATTGATAGGATTTGCAAAATATTAAAAATTTATTATGTATGAAATGAGAAATAAAATAATTTAAATGCATAAAACGATTAAGTTGAAAAACTATTATGTATGTGCGAGTAATAAGATCTTCCTATCGACTCTGCCGTGTTCAATTGCCGTTAAAGCTCTTAAATAGTTTGATTTTATAATTAAATAATAACAACGGTAAAAGAATTATAAAGAACAATTGAAACGCCGATAAATTAGTAGCGGTAAGGAGGTTTCTTTTGAAAGTCTGTTATCTATTCTGAATAGATTAAAAACTACATTCGATTCGAAATGATCGCAATTTACCGGGTGCAGCTCGCGAGTTAGATTTTTATTTCGTGCATAACGGCAACAGCAATATTGATAAGAAAAAAGATATCGGCGCATTCAGAAATACAAAAGTTAAATCGATATCAATATCAGATTCTTGTCTGTCTACGCTCCGATCATATTTTTTTTCGAGAATACAAAAGAAAAGCTTACTCGTCGTGGCAAATAAATAAAAAATGCGTTAAACCCGATTCGTGGTAGCCGCTGCATAATTAAAAAGGTAAGCAGTCGCGACGATTATTATCAAATTAAAATCGCTCAACCCGTGACTGCATTAAAATACATGGAATTTGTTGTTCGCGCACAACTGAATTTTCCCTAGCGCGGTATCGGATTTCCATCGTAGCGACGCGCTGCGGGAAAACTGAATTGCGCGAGGAATTCAATTTTCTTCGGAATAACAATAATAATGCGCGCTCATTTGGCATTCTTAGTATCTTGTAGATATACAAGTTTCACGAGCCTGGTTTTTCGTCAGTTGTGATGATCATGAGATATACAGATCACAACGCGAAGACACGGGCCACACAAATTTCGGGCATGGTTATTTTATTATTATTATTATTTTTCATTATCATAAAATATTTTTGAAAATGTCACTAGTAGCGTTAAAAGTGGTATTTTCAGAGCAATAAGTGCTTTTTCTTGAAATAGATATATCTATACCAAAAATTCGAGAGATCTATAAATATCGTAACTTTTATATTTTTTAATTAAAACCTTGGGACATTTGCTCATTTTTTATCGACTCACATAATTTGTCGACTATTTTTTCATTTCAGATCACCTTTTTTTTTTGACTTTCGAATTCTATTGTCAACTGATTCACGTGTAAGTTATAAATAAAACGTCGTAAAATTTGTTTTTTTTTTATTTCGCTTTCGAATTGCACCATGATGAAAATAACAAAAGCAAGAAATTCGATCCGCTTTGCAGACAACCGCAAGTATATGAAAATATTTACACTAGTGGTATCGGTGGAGCACGTGAATATATATTTTTTCGTAAATTCAATGCTAAAAAATGAAATTTTTGAAAATCTAATCTGTTATCTTGTCCCGTTAGTACGATGTGGACACGAGTGTATTTTGGTATGAGTTGCGAAGGAAAACTAGTCCGATGCAAAAACAGATTACTTTTCGTATTGAAAAAAGTTTTCTGGTTAGAAGCATACTTTAAGAATCTGAATATAAGTTTAAATCAATTCAATTTTGAAGAAAATCATCAAGTAACCTATTGGCAAGTGGACTTTACCGCGAAAAAAGGGGTCATCGTCCTATCACCGTCCTTCACCGACTTAACTTACCCTTCCTCTGGCGAGCATCTGCTCGGCAGCGTAAACGTAGCCGCCACAGCGGGGGCATCCCTCACCCTCGGGTGCCTTGGCGATGGCGCGGGGCTCCATCATTGCATTCGTACCTCTGTATTCCCTACAAAATACACACGATTAACATTCGAAATAATCAAATTTTTCAATAGTTTGTCTGTTTCATGTTGGCATGTGATGTGAATGAACATTTACGATGAAAATGACAAAACTATTCATCGTTCATTTTTGCGTAGTCAGTTATGATGGTCGCAATGACAATCACAACTTTCTAAGTGTGGAGATGTGTTGAGTCAAATTCTTTGCGACGTTCGATGATCTAAAACACCGATGAACAGCATAGAATTTGACAGAGAAGAGTGTTGGTAAAAAATGCAACGATCGAGTTTCGCTGGAGCCCAATGACCCCTCGACAAACGATATCAGTTGAAGAAATTATCTTGGAACTGAAACGACGAGCCAAGCTTTTCGACGCTCATGGGTATATTATGAACTTTCCAAGATTCATTTGTCGACGAGAGATTGTCTTGATATCCTTGGCTTTCGCGAAATTCGGTTGTTCATAAATATTGAGTTAGGGAAACAAATCTGCAAAAATTACGCCAACCAAGTGATACAATAGCACATCTAGTTGAGAAAAATTCATAAGGCGCTATAACAACAAAAAACCTACGGAGAGGAACAGACGCTGAAACGATCAATAATACAACGCTTCGTTAGTTACGATTGTTTTTCTTTCATCTTGTACGGGATACGTTATTCACAATTACAGAAGGAATATCGTACAGTCACATACACGTTCGATGATACAAAATCAGATGAGAGAGACAGACGCATGACGCGCGCGTGTTCCTCGTCCGCGGTTTGTTAACTTTGTTGTACTTTAATTGTTAGGCACATGTTAGTAAAGGTTAGTGTTCCCCAACCACGCGACGTGGCTTCCGCCGAGCCCCGAGAGGAGAGCCGAGAAGCAGATGTTGGTGCGTACCAATTACAAAAAATAAGATAAAAAAATTGTTTCAAGTTTCGTGGAAATTTTATTTAACAGAAATAGCGACATTGAAAAAAAGAATATAACTATTCACAGCGAGAGAAAGATAGAAAGAGAGAGAGAGAGAAAGAAAGAGAGAGAGGGAGAGAGAGAGAGAGAGAAAGAGAGAAAGAGAGAGAAGAGAAAAAGAGAAAGAAAGTGCAAGAGAGAGAGAGCGAGCGCAAGACATTCGTATAACTGCTAGAGTACTGTGTGGGGGTTAAGGGTTAGCGAGGGTTAGAGGGTTAGAGTCGAAGAAGAAGGCCGTGCAGGACATTCGGCGCAGGAAGCGAACAGCTGATCAATTGAACAAGTGAAATAATTAATAATAGTTCACGCCCTGGCCAAAAAAAGAGAAAGAGAGAGATAGAAAACAATTGGACTCGGTGCTCACCATCATCAGTAATTCAGTTTTAGCGTGGGATACTCGATTGTGTGTTTTTTTATACTCTTTTTTTTTGTATTTTGTTTTTTTTTTTTGTTTCTATTTTACTGTCGGGGCCCTGTTGCGAGATCATCCCGTGGCGGCTCGAACTCGGCGGGGCTGGCGGGAATTTCGGGGATGGGATTGTTTTCACCTCGGCACTCGACCGGCGAACGCTTGCAGGCGACTTTTTTCTGCTTGTTTTTAATTATTTGCACGAATCAACGACAAGCGTCCCTCGAGAACGAGACCTTGTGAATTATCAAAGCTCAAGTCCTTTCAAGTTTCTTTTTGTATACAGTGTTATTTATTAATTAAGATATTCCTTTTTTTAATGTAACACTTATTACAGATGGTACAAATATTCCTATATCTAAAAAGAGAGAGAGAGAAAAAATTTGTATGTGTTTTCTTTGCAGTTTAGTGATTTTGTGTCTGAGTGTTTGTATAAATCTTTTTTAGATAAAGATCAATTGAATATCGTATAAGTGTGTGTACATTATTTTCCATATACGTGTCGGTATGTTTTTTTGTAGCACTCTATAATAATAAAATCGTATTTTCTTTTCTTTTCTTGCACAATAATATCAAATGATAATAAATATTATAAGTTGTTTTTTCTGAGTATATATATCTCCATACAATGCATTATAGAATCATACCCGGGTTCGCATATCCACGAGAGTTCTTGCGGAGAACTTTCGGGGATCGCAGAACATCGACTATACATTGACAGTATATAATCACTTTGTTTGACGCTCGTCTCTTAAGGAAAAAAAATGGTACTTGATGGTAAAAACACACACATAAAAGGGATCAAATAAAAAAGAAAACGGCACTTTTTTTTCATCGTCAACACTAAATGGACAACAATGGCGGTGATGTTGCTACGAGGAAAAAATTTAAGGTGCCCGCCGACATCACCGACTTACAAGAGTTGAATAATTTTTTTATTCGTTTTTTTGCTTTTTTTGTTTTGTTTTTTAGGATAAAGGGTGAAAAGAACCAAATAAAAAACAGACTATAGGATAGAAAGAAGTGTGATCCAGTTAAGCGATACTTATAGGGACGCATGCTCGGCCTCAAGAGTAAGAGAGAGAGACGATTTTTTTTCCTTGAACGCGAGGAGAAACAAAGGGGCTAAAGAGGGACGAGGAAAAAAAAGAAAAGAACGAAGAAAGAAAAAGGGACAATAGTGACAGGGAAGCAGGGGGAGGGGGGCGTTGGGTGACATAGAGACAGGAGGGCTGATGGCACTCACTGGTGAGCCAAATGATCTCCCTGGTCCATGGAGAGGCATCCAGCACCACCACCGAATCCGTAACCCTTGGGTCCAAACTTGCGTCCGTGGCAGGTTCTGCAGTAGAGCTCACCCTCGTGCTCGCTGCAGTTTGTCGAGTCGAGCAACTTGCCGCAAAGGCCTGCAATCGGATAGACGCGTTCATCAATGATGAGCGTCTGTCAATTAAACGTGCTAACCGAATTCGGATGGTTCTTCTTGATCTTTCGATCGCAAAATAAAATTCTGGAAAATGATATCAAGTCGATTGGTGATTGCAATCGAATAATCAGAGATCGGAGCACCGTCTGACGTAACGTGCTTCTTATCACTGAATCGCGTTAACGTTACCTCTTCCCGACGGCAAAAGGAAAGTGTCAAACCGATCAGCTAGGTTTGCTCGATCGCTATACATCGTCTACGTCTAGTAAATCAATCACTGTTTACGACATTATATTTTCTTGGTCTAATCATTTTACTCACCGCATTTGAAGCACATCTTGTGCCATTTAAGTCCACCGGCTACGCGCTCCTCGGCGGCGTAGACTGACTTTCCGCACTTCGGGCATTTCACTTGTTCGATTGGTTTGTAAGGCATTTTGTCTGTAAAAAGGAGTCCAATTAAATATTCCTGGTATGATTGTTTGAAAAGTTGGCGTTATTTGATTCCCGTAGCTATTGGCTGACAACTCCGAGAGATATTGCTTGAGATTTGACTTGTACATTGACCGTTTTGTGGGCTATTTGGAAATTAGATATCGGAGAAACAATTACAATTGGATGTAACCATATTTACTCGCTTTCCAAATCGCATTTACATTGATTGTGAGCGCGATGCTACGGTAAGTTATTACAATTGCCATCGTTGCTTTGCGTCGTGAAAGCGATATTTATATCTCATTTTTGCCCGCTCGGCCGTCGCAGCGCGTCAAGTCTCGCAAATTGAATCAAACTCAAAAATCGCCAAAAAGAAAATGACCGAATTACGGAAGGGATTAGTCAGATGCTATCTTTAAAATGATTTTATGTAACGAAGTAGGCTACTTTGCTCGTGAGTGTTGAGCTTCCCTGGCAGCCGGCCAAATTGCAAAACATCGCTGCTACAAATTATCACGTTTACACGGAAAAACATTTTTTTTCTTCGCCGTCTTTTCTCTTTGACAAATAAATAGAATGATGATTTTAGCACGCAAACTACATTAAACATCGGCATTACCTCGCGGCATTAATTTTGCAGCATTCCAACTTGAGAATCACGTTAACGTAATCATATATTTCTCGAGATGGCGTGGATTATGAAATCGGTAAAAGTACATTATGTATCAAGGGAGTGCAATGAGGAATGGTGGCACTGCGTGACACAGTGCCATGGTTTGTCCACTGCGCTCGTTTTCAGCTGAGCTCTCAGCAAGCGACATGGAACCCTATCGATTGTCTAAAAGTAAAGTGCCTCTTGTACGCGCGATTCTTCAGGTACATTACTCTCGGGCCGTCCATGCGGTTCTGTGCTCCGTGCTAGGAAGGCGCGCTCAATCGCCACTTTACGCGCGGCGTGGGGGATCTCGATCGAAACCGCCGAACATCCCGTGCGAATATGCGTATTTCAAATTCGACCCTCCTGAAAAAAGAAGATTCTCAGCTGGAACGTAGCATCGAGCGAATTCCAATTTCCCGCCGTGTGAAAGTTATCTAACCGCGTGCGAGCAAGAAAAAATGGAACGTAAACAATCCGCCGACGGAGCGCCGCATCTATTTCCGTGGTCAAGCCCGCGCGCGGTCTATATTCGTAGACGCGTGCGCGGCGTAGGCAGTGTATCTGACGGCCGTATTTGGAGGCAGACGGCTCGCAGTCATTTAGAGATCGCCCTTTTGCCTTCTTCTTCCGCGCGAGGCGTCGATATTTGAAACTCGATACCGCTTGCCCGTGCGATCTCGCAGCGCGAAGTCGTCGCGCGTCTCCTCATCGCGAGGCGCCCTTTTCGCGTGCACGCGTGGCGACCGATTTTCATAATTGCATTTTGCATCATCGTCGCGGAGATAGACACTTGTAATGCGATGCCACCGTGAGCCGTATAAATTTTTCACGGGCAAATTCAATTTACCGGTAGAACGAATCGAATGATCCAATAAGAAATTCATAAACCCTTTTGGAAATTCTTTCGCATTGCTGTAATCGGGCTTACCGAAAGAAAAAAAATCGATCGGTCATTATGTTCCTTCGATTCTCCGTCACACGCGACGTTCAATTAGCTCTCATCGAGAATCGCTCTCGGAAAAGAAAAAGAACACCCTTGGAAAGAGAGAGAGAGAGAGAAAGAGAGAATCCGACTCTCTTCCATCTTTTAATCTCATCCTCTAGCTCCCCTCTCGTGTGTGCGCGTGTATCCTCGCGGTCCGTTTCTCCTCCCACGCCCCCACCGCTTTCCTCGAACCCCACCGCTTGTGGAGCATTTTGCCTCCCTCCAGTTCTCTACCCCCACGAGGTTGGTATATAACTTACGACCCGCCCATTTCAGTTATCTAGCGCTGTTTTTTTTCACTCACCCCCCCCCCCCCCCCATCGTTCTCTCGCTGTCGCGCGCGCTCGCGAACACGTACACGCGAGCAAGCAAGAGTTTGTTTCTATTTGCACACTATCAGGATTAAAAAATGCTTTATTTAGATTTGCGCGAGTGTAAATAGGAAATGCTGTTTGCTTACGCGCCTTTTACTTTGCGCGCTTCCGTTCGCAACGCCCAATACGCGTCTGTGTTTACGCGCACGCGGGCAAAAATTTGCGAGCCACTGTGTCGCTCTGCCGCGTGCATACGCACTTATTATACTTCGTCGTTTCGTCCATTTGACGATTCGACGTTGCGACGATTTCGCTCGGCGCAGGAACATTAATAATAGGTTTGCATAATTATTGATTTTTCATTTCGCGTGCAACTTCCAACCCGGAATAAAGAGAAAATTGAAGCATTTATCCAGGAAAAAAAAATGTATTTCTTCGTGCGAGGAATCGTGGCTGATTAAACGAGTCTACGCAGTCCAATCAATGAAGCAGCAGCCACGTCACTGATGTTTCAGCAATGCGTAATTGCTAATCGATCGTGAGCATTAGTCACTGGTATATCGCTCCGGTGCACTTTTCGCGAGCTCGCTGCGATCGCGCGCAACGAGAAGAGGAAAAAAAACCTCGTTCTATAAATAATAATAAAAGAAGGAAAAGGCGACGGCTTACTTGGCCTACTTAGCTGTCGCAAGTAATTAGTTTTCGCGTTCCGAGAAAAACCCGTGTGTGGAGTCGACGATCGATCTCGTGCAGAAAGACCGCCGCCGAGGCCGTTCGGCGATCGCTTTGTCCAGATCGGATAAGCCCCCCCCCCCCCCTGGCGAACTTTCGCCGCGTGGACGCCAGCGCGCCTCGGGTTATTTCGCGCACACAGCCCCGCGAAAGCTATTTCCGTATGCATAAGGCGCGAGGCCATCCTCCGGGGAGCCGTTTCGCCAAGCGGATCTCAAGATCGTACGTCGAACGGCCACTGCTGCGCACTTTCCTCGCGCGTTGCGTAACGACGCGAGGAAGCGGAACGATTACGCGATCGCAAGCGCAAGGTGGAACGGCGAAAAGCGAGCGCTACAGATTGCAGAGGAAAAACTCACGAGAAGCTTGCGTGCCGTCCGAGCGATCGGAAAAAAAGAGCGTGCCGCTGTTATGATAATGGTTAAGAGAGAATTAGAGAGACTGAGAGAGAGAGAGAGGAAGACCCTTGCCTGTGTGTCAAATCGTCTATGTCTCGCGCACTTGAATAATCTCTTTCTCTTCTCTTGGACAAACACCGCACACTAATACTGGATATCGAATGGCGCCGCTCGGCTCGGTCACGGCCTAGTCATACAGATCTTTGCACACGGCACGTGTGCACCGGAGGCAAGAAGAGAGAGAGAGAGAGAGAGAGAGAGAGGAAAGCACGGCACCACAAGCAGCAAGCGCGGCAGCGTCATTGCCGAGGCCAAACCCGACAAGACACACCTCTTGGCTGTAGTGCCCTCTTTTTCTCCCTTCGTGCTCGCGCTGCACTTTTAGACAGAGACAAACGCTACGCTTGCGAGTAGGAGTTGGGAGGATCTCTCGTTCGCTCTCTCTCTCTCTTTCGCGCACGCGAGCTTCCAAAAGCTCTGCATGCGCTGTGCTCGCATGCTTCTCGTATTTTTCCTCGCGCGCCAGCCCAACACTTTCGTGCTCTTTTTTTTTTGCTTTTTGGGAATTTTTGTACGAATAACGATGTCTCGTGTTGCAGATTCCGATGGACTTCGTTGCAGGCAAGTCAGACGATTTACAAGTCGGTACGACTGACAATGAATCTTTATTCCTTCCATTGGCTCGTTGATATGTTGGAGCGCATTCCTGAGAGCTAGTTTGCACAACATCCATCGACAGTGGCGTTTCATATTTATAAGAGGCTTCGAAAAGCGTTCAATCCTGGTCTCGCCGTGGCGCTTTCCTCATACGCGACGCGACTGTCTTATGTCAGTCTTCTTTTTCCGTCTCCCGGCCGCGAATTTCTTACGTGACGGCGTGCTCGCGGGTCAGCCGAAGAAACACGCCGACGCGCACCCGAAATAACAACGCGGAAATCCCGAAAGCCAGGGTAATTGCAGCTTAATGAAAACTCGCTGAAAAGGCGCGATTGTGCACTGCATGTAGCCGCGCGGCTAATTTCCATCGTCGCCGGGGCCCACGCGGGCAAAAAGGGACGCGCGTGTGTGCAAGCGAGCGAGGCGTGGGCGACGTCGTCGACGGAGACAGAAAACGAGCAACGCAGCGAAAAAGGGGGATGAAAGCGAATAACCGGCAAACGCGAATATGATAAAAGCCAAGAATAAGTCGCGTCGGAAATAGCCGCGAAGATGAGACAATGTAATATTGCGTAACGTCGTTTAAAGGTCCTCCTTCTTATCCGATAGCGCTTTCTCGGATTATATCGATATTTGGCTTCTTCTTCTCTTTGGATTTGAGAATAGATGTAGCTAAATATAATTTCTCGTTTGTATGTTAATCGGGGTTTTTCGTTGCTCTCTCTCTCTCTCTCTCGCTCTGCTATTTATCAAAACACATCGGTAATTAGCGCGCCGCGCGCGCCATTGTGTAAGCATTATTGTTTCTGCAAACAACTCGGCTACTACAAATATTTGTTTACTTCGATGTGCGTTCTTGAAAGCATATTAATAGTGTTAAGGTAATCAGCAGCGCTTATATAGACTGACCCGTCTAACTACGAGCGCAATACATTTTTCGTGTTTCTCTTTTCTCCTTACTTCGGATCTTGTCGTTCGTTTCTCACTGTTCGCAAGACATTTTTACAAATTTTTCGAGATATTGAAGGCGAACGATCTAATAGTCGTTTATTTTTGGCCTATAGCGAGCGTCGATATGGACCATGCGAAATAAACTCGGCTCTTCTAGAGTGTTTGACAACAATCGTGTAATTTTAAACTAATGACAAATACGTGAAATGCCTTTGCCAAATTTCGCTGACTAATACGAACTTGAAATAAACATCGAAATGACAAACAGCTGAGATACACGCATATGCTTAACAACTTGCACTCAAGAATCTTCGAAATTATTCCGGTGCTATGTATAATTTATATAATTGCTAGACTTATTCGCAAAATTGAAAGAATGTGGAGGTGTTAACGAGGTAAGCTTATTAGCCAATCAGACTCAATTTTCAAATAACTAGCTTCGAGTTTCGCCGTAATTTCATTAATGAAAGAAGATAAGGCGCCTCACATTTTCCCGCAACGCTCTATGACGTGCCAAAATTTTTAAATCCAAATATATAAAATGGGAATCTCGCATGTGTGCACTTCCATTTAATCCTGAAATAACTTTACGAGTATGAGACACTTTTATGCTCGAATCACGACGGCGATATAAATATCCAGGATTTATAAGTTGCTGAGACAATCAAAGTTGTGATAAGTACATAAAAAAATGTACCCGACGATAGGTTCATCAGACTCGCAGAGAGGAAAGGTTCAGTCACCTTTCGAGAAATTCTTAGCCACTGACTAATCGCGACAACGCAACGCGCATATGAGCCCGACCCACTGCTGACACATTTTTCTTCGAAATTCGAGTTACTATTTGCAATGATAAATAGACGACATCACTCGGCAAGAAAAACAGCATCCCAAGGAAACGTAGAGCTGAGGAGACGCGCGGACCAAGTTAGAACTCGTGGAGAAGGCTTCGAAAGGCGAGCGGCCAGCGGGTGGGAGAGATACATTCATGAGAGCACACCGGCGGTCGAGAATTGACGAACGGCTCGTTCACTTTCGCAAGCTATCGGGATAGGTGAAGGCGCAGGTGGCAAGTGTGATTGATTAGGAGCGAGCGCGGGCTATCAATTGAAGTCGCCTCCGGTTTCGCGCGCGCGAGGTGACCGGCGAAATTGCCATGCGCGCCGAGATGAAAATCGCAAGCTCCAGCGCCACGTCAGGGGCAAGGGGGAGAATTATGAGCGGAGAGAAAGACACTCGTCCACTATTAATAGGACCTCGGCTCGCGCGACTATTTTTAGGCCTGCGCCACTGGCCGTTCGGATAGGCGCGCTCGCGCAACGTATAAATGCCCCCAACCGGAGGCGAGACCCTCCGACTTTGAGAGGCACTCGCAGACAATGCCTTCGCAGTTGTATTTTTCCTAAATTGCGAGTGCTCCTGTCGTTTATCGAGCTTCTCGGATTTGCTGCCGAATGTAATTTAATATACTGCGAGAGCGAAATTTAAAAAATATCGATTGGAGCGCTGTCATGTTTCAGAATGCAGGTGTCAATCCGACGCAATTTTAACGTACGGAATCGAGTTTGGAGAGATATTTCATTCCAGCATCTTCCGCATCTCCCGCATTTCATTACAAGGACTGTCGTGTTACAGGGCGCAAAATTACCGGCTATTTTCGAAAGTAGCTAATCTTATCGCGCATTGAGATTGTAATCGTTGAATAACCAAACACAGCCACTTGACGAGCGAGGCTAGCTGATGCGACGAGCGGTCGATCAAAAACAAGGGGCCCTCGGCGAGAATCTCAGGGCGAGCCGGGCTGTTAAGTCGACCAGATTCAGCCGCGAATATGTACGCAGGCGCAGCGGTCGTCTGGCCGGCTGGCTGGCTCGCACAGCCACAGGCACGACGGTAACTGACCCGCAAACGTAATGGGCCGAAAGGGACGTTTCCGGCGCGGTAGCTTGCTCATCAATTTTGCACGCGTGCAATTTTGCGCGGCGCGTATTTTCGGCGGGATCGCTCCGCGAAATCGAGTTGCAATGATCGCTGCTACTTTTGTCGCGAATATAGAACTGCCACGCGGCCACGGAGTCCGAGATTATTTCGCGATGATTGGATTTGGTTGGCAAGCAGCGAGCGACATGGCTTTTTGCGTGTAGGCCGATTCGATTTAGCGAGGCGCCCGCTTGACGCGCTGCACTTCGTTATGCAGCGGTTATCTGCGTTTCCGGCTTTAATTGTCCTTTCGAGGTTTTTTGTTCGAGCGAGTCGCGGGCATTTGATTCGGATTAGGAAAGTCATCAGAGGTGTACCCGGCGCTTGATAAACAGTTTTGTCGCTAACTCGGTAACGTTCGAGAGGTGCGCGCAAAAGCGAGAACGGCAGTGAGACTGGTCTCACTATGTGCAGCGCCAACAATATATGGGTAATTCTTGGCTATTTCGATTGACTTGTAACCCTTAGGTTACGGATTTTTTTTTCATTTGGCACAATTGTTGTACACATAAAACTGAGATTTTTCCCAAATTTTGGAGACGATACATTAATTATATGAAAAGTTATTAACAATTAAAGAAAAATGATAAAAAATTTTCAAACGGCTATATTTTAAAAACTAATAAAGATATCGAAGTCGGATTTTTTTCAAAATACTTATAATGCCTTAAAATTTCGAAATAATTACAACAATAAACAATAAAAAATTTTTTTCGAAAGTTATTAACTTTTTGTTTAAACAATTGCTAATATCTCAAAAGGCATATTTTTTTTTTGAAAAATTCTTGCTCCTACGTATTCCTGAGGATTTTTGCTATCGAAATCATTCATAAAATTCAAGGGCCCGACATATCGGAAAGCGTAGCCCTAATCAAAAGAAGATGCCTCGGTGTCAGGTCGCTTTCGACCGTGAGTCCGCTGGAGCGCTACCGCAGCCTTACGCCGAGGCGTCTTCTTTTGATTAGGGCTACGCTTTCCGATATATCGGGCCCTTGAATTTTATGATTGATTTCGATAGCAAAAATCCTCAGGAATACGTAGGAGCAAGAATTTTTCAAAAAAAAAATATACTTTTTGAGATATTAGCAATTGTTTAAACAAAAAGTTAATAACTTTTGAAAAAAATTTTTTATTGTTTATTGTTGTAATTATTTCGAAATTTTAAGGCATTATAAGTATTTTGAAAAAAATCCGACTTCGATATCTTTATTAGTTTTTAAAATATAGCTGTTTGAAAATTTTTTATCATTTTTCTTTAATTGTTAATAACTTTTGATATAATTAATGTATCGTCTCCAAAATTTGGGAAAAATCTCAGTTTTATGTGTACAACAATTGTGCCAAATGAAAAAAAAATCCGTAACCTAAGGGTTACAAGTCAATCGAAATAGCCAAGAATTACCCATATACCTAGCTGTATTTCCGGCAAGGGGCCGCTGTGAGCCCTGTTTTTTACCTGATTAGCAGTTATACTTTCAAATTATCATTCATTCTATTTGCCTATTTTTTTTGCTTCCAAACTCTTATTTTGATTCATGATTTGATTTTTTTTATTTATATAATTTTTTAGCTTCAAATTAACTAATGCTAAGTAGTTTGCAAGAGAATTCTAGAATTATCGACGATAAATTATCTATAGTTAT